CAGAAGCCAGGAAATGAAAAGATGAATTGCATTGGGAAAGTCTGCTGTCAGAGAACATTCCAAAGTACTGAGGAACAACAATGTCAGTCTGGAGACTAAGTTGTGCCTAAGACAGACCATGTTCTTGGAAATTACTTGCTATGCATCAGAGAGCTAGACAATGATGAGAGATGAAAGGAGATTGATTCCTTTGAATGGTGGCTCTGGAGAAGAGTGTTGGATATATCATGGGCTTCTAGGAGAATAAACAAATCCATCCTGGAAAGGGTGAAGCCAGGCTGCTCCTTGGAGGCAAGGATTCTGAAGCTTCATCTGACATACTTTGGACATGTTGCAAGGTGGAATCAGTCCTTGGAGAGGGATGTCATGCTTGGGAGGCTTGAGGGACAGCACAGGAGAGGAAGACCATCGATGAGATGAATTGATTCAGTCTCTGGGGTAATGGGGATAGGTATTTAGGAGACAATAAGATTGGCAAGGGATAGAGCAGAGTTTAGGGCTGTTGTACGTAGGGTCTCTATGAGTCGCAGGCAATTCAGGGGCACATAACAACAGCAACAATCAGAGGAATGAAATAGCTTCACTAGTATATAGTTAGTTGTAACCTACGTTTAAATCATTTTTTTAAAATGGGATGATATCACTATGCATATCTTATTTCTTATTTGGCTATGTTCATATTCTGGAATGAAATAAATTCCTCTGAGCATTTTTGTGCAAAGATTCAAAAAGGATCTGTGCTCCTTGATTAGATAGATTATCTTTACTCTAAAATAGGAATTATGATACATAGTAAGCACTTAAACTGAACAATTAAAAAGGAAGTCTGAAGAATTGACATACTTGAGTTGTAGTGTTGGCAGCCAACATTAAATATATCATGGGCTATCTGAAAAAGCAACAATCTGTCTCGCACAAAGGACAGCCAGCAGGCTCCTAGGAAGTGAGGATGGAAAGACTTCAACTCATGTACTTTGGGCTTTATCAGGAGGGACCAGTCTCTAGAGAAGGACATCATTCTTGGTAAAGAATAAATCCAGTGAAAATGAGAAAAATTCTCAACAGGATGAATTGACCCAGTGGGTGCAACAAGGACTCAAACAGCAATGGTTGTAGAGGATGGGACACGACCAAGTGACATATCATCAAGTTGTACATAAGGTTTCGATGAGTCAAAACCAACCCTGGGAGCATCCAGCCACAAAGATAACAGAAGCTCAATAAACATGTCTGGACAGAATTAATATAGAGCCATAATTTAGTGAGGATATCTAGTATTTACTGAGGCTTGTTCCATATTTTCTATGTAAACCTCATCGGTAATACTGTTTTTACATCAATCATCCAGATGAGGAAACAGATGGGACATAGTCATCGACTAGCTGAACTCCTAGTGGGCTTAGGATATGGACCCAGAAGTTTGTCCCTCAAGCCCAGGGTTTTCTACCATAAACCACACTCCTACTGATTGCTGTGCAGACCAGAAGGAAATAAAATCCATGTATTAGTATACTAACAATAAAAGTTAAGCAAGGTTGTATGTTACAGTCAAAATGAATATGAGAGATACATGGTGTGGTGTGAAAATGATTTTTCTCGGAGACAACATCAATTACAGCTTTTGCCTAGGACCTTGTTCAAACATGTCTCCCTTAGAATCAACTGAATTTTCCCCCTCTTAATGCTATTTCAGAATAAAAGTATTAAAGGAAAATAATTCCCCTTGTCTTTACAGAAAAAAAAACCATTTAAAAATGCTCACTAAGTGAGTGTTCACTGACCTTTCATTTGTTGGGATAGAGTTTTTTAAATTAGTCACCTTTTAAACACCTCACATCTGCCATGAGTGTTGTGATGTAGCATCCATTTAATTCAAGCGCACACACGAGGCAGGAAAAGCTGTGTGAGTATCTGCGAGCCTGTCCCACGAGGGTGGGTTTATTCTTTCACCCAAAGAGCTTTGCTTTACAGTTTCTGGAACATCTCCAAGCAAACTCTGCCAGAGAAGAGTTTTAACACTTGCTTTTTCCAAAGTAGGGAGCTGGGCCAAATACATGTGCCCAATCATAACTTATTCTTGTCTCCCAAGAGCAATTGGGATAAATGTGTTCTCCCCTTAATTGAGCTAATTGGTACAATCTCTCTCCAGAATCTTCCCAGTGAAATACACATAAACTGCATCCCACCAGATCAAGGTCTGTAGAAGGTATAGATCACTCCACATGACCCAGAGCTATAGGGATCTTAATGGACAATAGGATGGAAGCAGTCAGATCAGAGGAATAGCTTCTAACACACTTCTAAATTCTCCAGAAGAGAGATGCACAAGTCGTTCCTTTCCCTCTCCATCCCACCTGCTTTCTGCTCTTCTCTCCCTTCCCATCCTTACTCTCTTTCTTCCCTCCTTCCACCAGCACTTACTGATCCACTACTGCA